ATACTTGGTCCGGTCCAGAGGTAAGTATATTGCTTAGTACATGATAACTTGTCATATATATATGCGGAAAGTGCTAAATCACATCGTCCTTAGTGGTCTTTGTAGGGAGGTATGCGAATAGTGGATATCACTTGAATTCTAGTGATTGAGGCGTAGACTTACCAACTGAGAGGTCCGTGCTTCGAACCCAACCTCATCGTTTCTACTGCTTCCGGATAGGTTAGAGCAAACTGACATCATCTTAACCCTCATGCTTCCTACGAATAGCCTGGTAGCTACTCATCAAATGGGTGCACAGTTGAATTGTCACATATTGTCAAAGCGCATCCGAATAAACAAACCGCACTAAGCTTTAACTTTACTACTGCCTAACATCTAAGACAGATCGGGCTCAACTCACCCTACTGAACTTCGTGCCGGGAACAGCACAATATATCAGATAGGTGCCAAACACTTTTGGATCCGCAGGCACATACAAGCGCACAAGTTTCGTGTGAGAAATCCTAGCCCAATCTGGAGTCGCTCGTCCCTTGTCCAGCCACATTGAAGATGCGGATAAATCGGATCTCACGGCCAGCTCAATTTTGTTGTTCAGTATTGGATAGATTGTTAAATTTGGACCGTTTTCTGTTGCTATATTGGTCTGGCAACTCAACGTTTGTGTGGGCTGGAGCACAACAGAACTGATTTCCGGATCTCCTGCGTGCCGAGTGGGCTCGGGAATTATCTGAATATAACCGGATTCGATGTACAAATGGAGTGCGATTGGATCGGAAACACTGATCATCTGCTGAATTCGATGTGGACTGAATTCTGAGGACAACCAATCCCAATATGCTGCTGGAACGAGGATGGGTGGAATAAGTTCTGGTTGTACCTCACAGGTGACGTAGGCTCCACTATACTCACGTCGTAAGCGAAACCTCCAGGCATAATGTAACTTGTCTGGGTCAGTTGAATTTAAATGTCTCATGGGTGGTGTTGTTCGCATGGTATGCGGTAAAACAACCTCATGGGAACTTTCTTTATCTCTGTTCAAGTGTAAAATAGCCCGGAATGCCGTACGAATTATTCGCACACCATTGGCAATTTGATCTGCTCGCTCACAAAACAGTTGATATCGTGGAGTTGAGCAGTAAAGCGTAATTTCCACATCCGGATAAAAGTGGAAAATAGATGGAGGTTGCACAAAATCGTTGTTTGCAGATGAGTTAGGATTTGCATCTCCGAGCAAAACCAGTTTCGGTTTTGACGGTCTCGTCATAATACAAAGTGGATGAGGTGATATCCTGACAACGTCGACCTCTTTACCTGAACTGGTCTGGTATGTGCTAATGCAAGCATAATATCCGAAATCATTTATGTTCAGTTGCATGACGTCCAGAGTATATGCGTCTG